TAAATAAATTCTGTACAACTATGTATTCCAGGGAAAAGACTGTGAAGTTGCACTCAGTACTTCATGCTGTGCTTGGTAGTTTGTTCACCATTTATGAAATATTCACAGCTAACCCCATGGCTGTCAGCTAACAAGCTTTAAAATGTTTTACTGACAGGTGGTGAAATCTCTTGCGGTACTTCCTCCTAAATGTACTAGCTCCTTGCTGAAATGGCAAGACGACAAGATTCTCTACTCAGAAGCCCCCTGCCAGTCTGTACAGCTGTATAATCACATCATGTCTGCGAGCTCATGCTGCGCAGAACGGTGCACGTGAAGAGGTGTGGGGTTGAGGCTACCTCAGGTCCTCCATCAGGCAGCTTGCCAGTGGAAACATGAAACATTTATACTGAATTATAAATATTTTGTATTTGCTGTTTTGCTAAACCAAACTCCTTGAATATCTGGTATGCAGCCACCAACTTCAGCTCCCCTGAAATCTCTCCCTGACAGCTGCACACACTCCCTCTGCTCAGATGAGAAAGAATGGGGATAAGAAGACTCTGTAGCTGGCCCGCTGCAAGAATATCAATAAAAATGTTAATTGTCCACACTGAGAAAAAAATCACCCTGTTTACAGTGCCTTGTGCTCCACGTCACCAATAAAATGCACTTCAACTTGAAAAACTAAAAATGGAACAAAAGCTAAAATGAATAATAATAGGAAAAGTCAGGGACAGCTTTTATGTTTCTCTGAGGCCTTTTCTGAGGTATTTTACTTCTGCTGGTTTAGGATGTTGCTATTACCAGCCATTTAGTTCAGCTGGCGGCTCCAGCCTGCAGTCGGGGTGTTCAGACAGAACCGGCATGTGCCTCAGCTGTCTTTATGAAAAGGGCAGTATCTCAGCTTAACCCTCTGCTGAAGCTGGTTTAAACTCCCTTCGTACTGCAATAGATACAGAAGCATTCAAGCAGTGTGCTGCCTGCATTTTAGTCAGCAACTCCTGGAAGGAGAGAGGTGTTAGAAGAGCTAATACTAGGACATCTACTGTAGTGCCCACTGGGCATTATCCGAACAGAGCTCCTTATATCTACTGAGGCAGACAGTTCATAAAACATACCTTGCCTTTGATTCTTCTGGGAATTAGATCAGGCAGAAAATGTAGCCCGAGAGACATTTTCTTTTCCTTTCACATCTATTGCCTCATCCTCAGTATGTGACCTTATGACTGACAAAACTGGGCCAGGACAGCTTTTGTTTCAGCACAGCATGCCATTAACACAGACCTGGTTTTGTTTTTATGACATGGATCTTCATGACACGAAGGATTTTGCTCCCATTCTAGAGTTAACATGTCTCCTTCGGCCATCAGCAAGGTTTACAAAGAAGTAACAATGCAATAGTAATGCAGAAAAGTGGCAGTGGGAAACTGTACAATTTAGAAGGACATAGGAAGATGAGCACTGTTGAGAAGTCTGATTTCTCAACCCAGGAGATACCTGTGCTCAGCATCCCTTCTGTACAAGGGGCACATTTGGGCTCAAAATGAATCCTGGAAAACAGTCTCATAAAACAGGGGGCTTGGTAAGCAGTTAAGAATCACTGGAGTCACAGTGCATACCTCTCTCCTGCATGTGCTCTCCATAACCGAGCATCAGCTGTTACTGCACATGGCTTCATTTTAGCATGCTGATTTAATATTTACAGAGTGCCAATAAAATTTATATGATGACAGCTGGTGGCTCCTGTGGTAATTTATAAACAGCAACAACAACACAGCACAGGCATCAGAAATTCCAAGAGGAATTCTATGCCACTGTGCAACATTCAACACTGAAGAATGTGGGTTATTTTCTAAATTTGTAGACTTTTAATAATCTCTGTGTAAGGCATCCATACTGAACTTTAAGTAAAGTCTATATTATGCAAAGTTCTTATTTCCGCTAGGTACGTTGTTTTCATTCAGAATGGAGCTCACCACAAAGACTCCTTATCTAGCTATCTGGATTTGATTCTCTGTCAAGAGTGTCAAGTAATCTCTGTGGTTTGAACCTTTGCAAGTTCAATTGGGAAGTCCAGCAGATGATTGCCTGCTTTTCTTCTTGTGCTCTGCTTCCCCAAAAGAAATACTAACAAATGTGAACTGCTGTGCAGATGACTAAGCCAGAAGACTATTGCCCTTATTCTGCAACCTGTATTTACTCTGCACAAACATGAGTAGAGAAAAGTAAGCCACAATCTGTCTGACAACAAATCTAATGTCTGGCCATTGCCAGTGTACCACTATGGAAATGCAAACACCTGGTACATCATTAGAAGATTACATCATTGACTGACTCTTCTTCATTCTACCAAAAAAGCTTCATCAACCATACTATCCCTCTTTATCTTTCCTCTTTATTTCCCAAGTCCTTGATTTCCTTTCCACTCCTTGTCTGTTTGCCATAATTTACATTTATTCTTCAAATCAGTGAAAAGCTTTCACCTTTTATTCTGCCTTTTACATATAGCCATAAATTCAAATGTGAAATTTGTCATGGAAGAGAAGCAGAGGTAGTTTTTTTTATTACAACAACCTTTCCAGGATTCTTTTCCCCATATTTTTTAATAGTCCAATTAATATATCTATTATTTTTGGTGGTACCTGTTCCTAGGGACATATATAGGTTGTTCTGAAGGAACTGCTGTCTTCTGTCTTGAACATGCTCCATTCTCCTTCTAGACAACCTCCAGTTCCTGCTACCACTATGTATTTTCAGGTCAGAGTAACTTTAGCTTCAAATGTTAACAATTGCCCTGCACAACAGAAGATTCTGGACACCGAAAAATAAATCGGGACAAGGTCCACAAAAGCTTGAAATCCACCTAAACACTAACCTGGCTTTCTGGGCACTGTCTTTACAGAAAAATCATGTTATGATTTAAATTTTAGGAAAAAATATCAGTAATGAAGAGTTTTCTGTGGTGATCATATTACTCTTCCTCCATTTCATCCATCATTGTGCAGGAAAAACGCTCTGGGGCAAGAGCCCATAATTTACAGCGGGAACTATGCCACTCAGGCAGATGGGGTTACCTTTAGGTAGCCAAAAGATCATGTTTGTACATCAGCAATGGGTGTTCAAGGCATGATTCCCAGCTGGGACCACTGAAAATGCTGTCCGCTACAAGCTGTCTGTGGCTTTTAGCCACTGTTAATCCCCTGTGGGTCAGAATTACCTTTTAAAAACAGATTGGCTTCTGTGGCCAGTTAAGGGTCCTCCGTGAGCACGGGACATAGCACAGCAGGGGACACAAGTGTCATAGAAGTTTCACAACTGGCCTGTGCTGAATGAGGAGAGATGCTAAAAGTATAGAATTACAAGAATAATTCTTTATCCATGCTCATGAGGTATCCCATTCAAATCTGGGCACACCACATGCAGTTTTTTACCCACGGTTCTTATACCTTTTAAGCATTCAGATACAACATGATTTCTTGCACACACATACTTGTTTTGAAAACCAACTATAATTCTACAATGCCATCATCCACCTGCTTCCTTCTTGATCTAGGTGTCCCTAGATCCTAGGGAACCAAGTCCAAGTCTGGAGTTGGTCTTGCTATAGTTAATTATCTATGATGCTGCATAATGGGAGGATTTCACACAAGCGCTAGAGAGGCTGGGATGCTGGAGGTTGTAGGAGTAGCACATGGGTTTCCCTTCTTCATGGATGACTTTAAGATTCTGAGAAAAAAATATCCTTAGGGTGGCAACTGTCTTTCTCTTTCTTGCAGTGAACTGGGCCTTTCGTTATGCTGATTTAACCATGATTATGGTTATATATGTATCAGTGGCTATAAATGTATGGTTTTATATATATATACGAATAAATGCGTCTTAAGAAAGGTAACATGGTTTCATACTACTAAGTTAATGCAATTTCATACCACAAAGCCTACTTGGTACAATAGTTAGGGAACCAGTTCTCCGAAGAGGTGCCCGCAGACCGAGACAGAGGCCCTGACCGCAGCACTCTGGTTTTGCCAGGATTGGGAGAGGACACTACACGTAAAGGAGACAGCAACCACCTTGACAAGCGGCTGCGCTCGGGAACGGCCATGCCCTGGAGGAACACGGCCGCACACCCAAAAGCGGAGCAGGAGAGCCTGCTTCCCACAGCCTCCCGCCGGGCAGGAACAACCACAAGCTAAAACACCCAGCTCCAGCCGTACTACCCGCGCACATCCCCACAGGTCACTAAGCTCTACCCGCCGTCAGGCTCCGCCCCCCTCATGAGACCCCGACCACCTAACGCCCCCCGAGTCGGCAGCGCTGCCGGTGCGCGCATGCGCGGCTCGCCCGGCGGAAGCGGAAAGGTGTCTGTGCCACGCGCGGGGGCGGTCGGGCGCGTGCGTTGCCATGGAGAGCGGGGGAGAGGAGGGCGCGTGACGGCGGCCCCCCCCTTCTCCTGCCCGGCGTCGCCCAACGGTTGGTTCCGCCTCGCGCCGCGGGGAGAGGGGAGGGGGGAGTGGTTGCGCGGCGCGCTGGGGATGGGGGCCACTGCCTGCCCCGCCGTGTCCCCGTTCCCGGGGGCTGCGCTCCGTTGTAGCAGGGGCCGCTCCGGCGGTGGGCAGCGGCGGAGCCCCGCGGCACTGGGGAGGGGGGCTGCAGCCGGCTGACCCTGCGGCGCGCTGTGTTAGCGCTGCCCTGCCAGCCCTGGGTGCTGCTTCACCTGTGGTCACTGTAACTGCAGGAGTGCCGGTTTCTGCACAGACACCTGGGCAGGGAAGCCCTTACCCGGGTTCCTGGCTATGGCCTTACCTGTAAGATAAATACTGCTGTCACTTTCATCAAGACCCGCGGTGCTGCTTTCTCTGCCAAATGGCGAGGGGGTGAGTGCTGCCTTTGGGGTGGCAGTGGGAGGGGTGACTGCGGCGGCAGCATGGCATAAAGAAGCAGAATGCCCTCTGACATCTCCCAGTATCACACTTCCGTTTTCCATCTCCAGGAGTTAGTAAAACAAGACTGTACATCCTCATGTCCTTCCCACTGAGGATCCAGACAGTGATCGGCATAAGTAACATAGATGATGTGCCTACAAGTATCTGTTTGCTCAACAGTGGGTGAAAATAGTGTTCATGGATTGTGATCCGTGGGGATATAGTGGGCTTACATTAGCACTGAGCCATATCGCAGGCCAGGCCCATGTGGCATCTCTGTTGAATGCAGTAGGTGTTTACAGCTACGCCTTGCAAGAGCCTATCTATAGAAAGAACTTGGGTGGGAACGTCTTTGCCAACCTTCAGCAGCCTGTCAACAGCCACCTAGCAACTGTATTGCCAAGGGCTCTACCAGCAACCATCTATTGTATAGATACCTGCAAAGCTAGGTACACGGCCTTTAGTCATGGCAAAAAAATGCTGCTGCTTGTATTATCTGGTTGTTCCCATACTAGTTTGTTAAAGGGGAGAAGAGCTGCAGAAGGCACAATGGTAATTGTATTCTGACACCTGATAACATCATGTAAGTGGTTTCTTTAAAATGTAGTTGAAAGTAATTTAGTTATTTGGTTTAAGGTTTGAGGTTTTGGGTTTGTCTGTTTTGTTTCTGGTGAAGTATATTGTTAGTTTTATATCAGATTTTGGCAGTAATGGTGGAGATTTAAAGAAGGTCACAGATCTAAAACCACAGGTGGATCTTAAATTGATGGTGGCTGTTGATTGCTGTGGCATTGCCTTGGCTGTCACTAATATTACAGCGTTTCTACTCTCTATTCTCTTTTCTCTTTCAATTGCTTAGAATGCAGCCTTTTCAGAAAGTGATGTTTTGCTCACCCTAGAAATGTATTTTATAGAGCATAGTATTGTTCAGTCTGTGTGGAGTGTTAAAACTGGTTTCACAGTTGTCCTGGTTTTGGCTGGGATAGAGTTCTTTTTCTTCCTAGCAGCTGGTGCAGTACTGTATTTTGGCTGTAGTCTGAGAACAATACTGATAACACACTGATGTTTTCGTTGAACAATACTAAATATTATTGCTCTGTGTCACTCCGGACTTGTTTAAACATTTGGGAAAAAAAGTTATGAAAGTCAGATGTCACAGGTCTCACTTCCCTTACTGAAGTCCAGGGCTGAGCCGAGGCAGAATGTCTAGGGTCTTTTTTGCCAGTTATGTATCAAAGCAGGAACCATAAGAATGCAAGGAGCAGGATGTCACCATGGATAGCTGTCATCCTTCTTAGGATGGGAAGTCCTTGTATTGGGTTTATTTATAAAGCAGAATTTTCTGAGAATGTTTTGGGACAGTCTTGGTGCAAAATTGTATACTTTTTATTGAAGGTTGCAATCAAATGAGCCAATTAAAACAAACTTTATTTCATGGTAAGATTCCGGGTTAGTGCAATGCTTTCTTGTTTCTCAGAAGTGAGTTTCTGCTGCCTGACTCATTCTGTGGTCTAATTATTCAGTGGATGTCATATCAGAAGTGATACGGGAGGTGACTGTAGTGAACAAATATGGAGTTTATGATCCTGTTGATTTGGATAGAAATGAAAGGTTTACGAAAAAATGCTGTCCAGTCATTGCATAGTAAAATTAATTTTTGGAAAGGCAATAACAATTCTTGATCATGTAGGAAAGACTCAGTCATATTTTGGAAAATTAGAACTTTTCACAGCCATAGCTACTGTTTGTTTTCAAATATTTTGATATGTTTATTTAGAAAAAATGGCTATAAATTAGGGTAAGAGGGAAGAAAGCCACAAAACCTCCAACATTAGTGTTGTGCATTTTATCCTAAATTATTTTATTGGAAAATCTTTAGGCACTGCATATATGGATGCTGAGTGTATATGGATATAAATCACTTAATGGTTTCTTTTCAACTGATTTGTTGTAAACCTGTTCATATACTTTTTTCTCTACATATTGTAGTTATTCTCATCAGAAGTGATGCATCCTAAAGAACAGAATTATTTGAGATTAGTCTTCCTTTCTTTTGATGTATTTAAAAGACTTAATACAGATTTTTTTTAAAAAAGTATGTTTAAAAAGAGAAGACTACAAATTCACTTTGTCCATGTGTTGAATTGGAATCTACTGCTTTCTACCGAATCATCAGAACATGCATGTTGTAGGTTTTCTTTATACCACTTCTTTTCCCTTTTGTATTTATTTATGGTACATAAACCAAGAGGGAGAGGGGGGAAAAAAGCTCACTTTACTGGAGGGAGTCAGTATATTAATGTTGCTTATGCAGTATTGCTGACAGAAGTATAATGAAAAATATGAAACTTAATTTTTCAATATAATATGCATGCAGGAAGCAACTGCATCACAGTTTAAAATAACTAAACCACATTGGCAGTAGTGCAGTTTTATACAGACCTGTTTTTCATAAACACTCCCATCTTTTTAAATCTATATTGAAATTATAAATGGCTTAGAACTGAAATTCAAGGAACAATAGTTAGAATCAGCATGTCAGTTCCAATGTGAGATGCAAAGCATCTGGGTATTTCTGTGAATGGCTTGAGAGGAAGCTCTACTGAGTGAGATGAGGTATGAAGAACAGAATAGGAGGTAATCTATTATACGCAGCCTCTGAAAAGAGGGATGATGATTATTTATCACTCTTTTCTATCTCTTTCAGAAAAGATACAGAAGACGAAGGTGAAAAAAAATCAGTTCTTGAGAATGGGGCCTTTTTTTGCATAATTCCAACTTAATTGTGGAACTTTCCATCAAAGGTATGGATTTGGGTGTGGTAGCGGTGTTTGGTTTTGTTTTGCTTTTTTTTTTTAATTATAAAAGTAAATAATGTCATGCAGACAAAAGTTAGTCATTGAGTTGTAAAAATTTGGTATATATTTCAATTACAGGCATTCCCATAGTTTTCTTCAGAATCTCTCTTACTGCCTTATTACTCACACGTTATGCTTAGTAGGTCATTTGTAAACAAGTATTTCAGTACTTGCATCTCTGTTTTGTTTGTTGAGTCGGTGTTTTACCTTCTGAGGAAGGACTGTGGAGTTACAGGATCTCTGCTGCCCTGGTGAGATGGAAAACAGGCAGATTCCTGAGCAGTCAGCAGTGTTTCTAGCTCCCTTCGGGTTTTTTGGCCTCTGTGTTTCTGTCAGTCTGCATGATTTCCCCTTCATAAATTCATGCTGACTACTATCAATCATCTTGTTGTCCTTACTGTGTTTGGAAACAGTTTGCAGGATTATTTGTTCCACCTTCCCAGAGATGAGGGTGAGGCCAACAGGCCTGTATTTGCCTGGATCCTCCCTTTTTGCCCTTGAAAACAGGGTTGATGCTTGCTTTCCTCAGTCCTCTGGAACCTCACCCATCAGCTTAAAGCTTTCAGACAGTTGAGAGTGGCCTCACAATGACGGGGCCAGCTCTCTCAGCACTCATGGTGGCATCTCATCAGGTCCCACAGAAGTGTTACATCCAATTTGTTTAAAGATTTCTTAATCTGATTCTTCCTCATTTAGAGTCTTTATAGCTCCAGACTTTCCCACTAGTCTCAGGTGGATGGAATTTCAGAAAGCGGGTCTTACCTATTGAGCAAAGTGAAGAAGGCTCTTTGACATTTTGGCATTGTTTCACCAAGTACCCATCCCATTTAGCATCAGGCCTATGTTTCCCCTAGCCTTCTGTATGCTGCCCATGTACCTGTACAAAACTTTTGACCTTCATATCCCTCACCAGATTCAACTCCAGGTGCACCTTGTTTTTCCTAACTCCATCCAAGTGTACCCAAATGGTGTTCCTGTATCAGATGTGTGCACACACTTGATGTAGCTCCACTTCACCTCTGTTTTGTTGATTATAAGATCTCTATTGTCCACATCACCCTGCATCCTTTGCTTGCAAACCTGGACCTCCACTTCCTCACGGAACTGTATGTCACACCTCTCTTTCCATCATTTCTAGTCTAAGCCTTCCCTTAGCAAGTTGACTAGCCTTTTGGCAAAGATGCTTTTGCCCCACATGGTCAGTGGACCTCATCACCTGGCAGTTCTTTGAACTTAGTGAAGGTCCCATCATCGTAAAGGCTGAGTCCCTGTTGTTGATGTCAGCTGCATAATGACTTGTTTTTGCTGGCGGGATTCATAGGCTCCTCCAGTCCTTCCCCTTCACAAGCAGGATAAAATATACACCACCTGGCTACCAGGCACTGGCCAACACCCTCTGAGCACTGTAGTTGTGCTTGATACGCTCTTGGACTCCCTTGGTTGTATCTGTGGTATCTGAGTATAATAGTTTGAAGGCCAGCCTACTACTAACCTCAGTAACAGCCTATCCATGGTGTCCAGGAGCCAAGCCCCAGGCAAGCAGCAAACCTGGCTGGTGGAGGTGGCAGAGGTGCCTCTGTCCCAGCAGCAGAGTTTCCGACCACTGTTCCTTGACCCATCCTGCCGCACTGCCATAAGATGCCAGCTCAGAGGCTTCATTGGACAGAGCTCTCTGCCCGCTGCCAAGGCTCAGAACCTGCTCTGTAGATCAGGGCTGCAACAGGAGCAGGAATGGTCTTCCTAGTGCTAGAGCTTGCAAGCTCACAGGCTTCACCTGACTTGGCATCTCCATGCCCAGCTTGACAAGATAAGGTTCTGCCTGCACCTCCTCTGTGAAGTAGGGGCTCCTGTAGCTGCAGTGTCTTGGAGAGAATCTGGTCTCTCTCCTTTTCTGCATCCCTGATGTTACACATTCTGCTCACCTCCTCACACAGCTTCTCTGCTTAACAGATCCTCCATTAGTGCATGCTTAGAAGGATATGGAATGTTTTTTTTAGTTCTAAACCTGCTGCTTGCCAAAGTTAACTTACAACAGACACACACTAATGGTGGATTCAGCAGTATAATGCTAAATCAATTATATGTCTAGAGACTGTACATAATTTTGTAGTGTGTTAATACTGTGTATACAACAGACTGTGGTACTTGCATGCTACATATAGTAAAATTAAAAAAGAGCAGTAGATGTAAGCCTGATCAGTTTTTATGATTATCATGAACTTACAAACAGTTTTAAGGGCATAGTAGCTGTATTCAGTATTCAACATGGATTTATAAAAAAAGTGTTAGCACATATGATGAATTTTTAGGATAAAAATAAGCACTTAATACTCTGCTGTACTTGAATGGAAACACTGTTGCACTGGAAGATAACAAGCAAAGGGTTATGATAAATGGTGCATAGGAGAAGTGTGGAAAAATGTCAGCTTATTTGGGTTTGATTTTGATTACAGTATCACAGTATGCTAGAGATTGGAAGGGACCTCGAAAGATCATCTAGTCCAATCCCCCTGCCGGAGGAGGAACACCTAGATAATGTTACACAGGAATGTGTCCAGGCGGGTTTTGAATGTCTCCAGGGAAGGAGACTCCACAACCTCCCTGGGCAGCCTGTTCCAGTGTTCCGTCACCCTCACTGAGAAGAAGTTTCTTCTCAAGTTTAAGTGGAACCTCTTGTGTTCCAGTTTGTACCCATTACCCCTTGTCCTATCATTGTTTGCCACTGAGTAGAGCCTGGCTCCATCCTCGTGACACTCCCCCTTTATATATTTATAGACACTTACAAGGTCACCCCTCAGTCTCCTCCAAACTATAGAGACCCAGCTCCCTCAGTCTTTCCTCATAAGGGAGATGCTCCACTCCCTTAATCATCTTTGTTGCCCTGCGCTGGACTCTCTCCAGCAGCTCCCTGTCCTTCTTGAACTGAGGGGCCCAGAACTGGACACAATATTCCAGATGGGGTCTCACCAGGGCAGAGTAGAGGGGAAGGAGGACCTCTCTCGACCTACTAACCACCCCCCTTCTAATACACCCCAGGATGCCATTGGCCTTCTTGGCCACAAGGGCACAGTGTTGGCTCATGGTCATCCTGTCGTCCACTAGGACCCCCCAGGTCCCTCTCCCCTACACTGCTCTCTAACAGGTCGTTCCCCAGCCTATACTGGAACCTGGGGTTGTTCCTGCCCAGATGCAGGACTCTACACTTTCCCTTGTTCTATTTCATCAAGTTATTCCCTGCCCAACTCTCCAGCCTGTCTAGGTCTCGCTGGATGGCAGCACAGCCTTCTGGCATGTCAGCCACTCCTCCCAGCTTAGTGTCATCAGCAAACTTGCTGATAGTACACTCAATTCCCTCATCTAAATCATTGATGAATATATTAAATAATACTGGTCCCAGTACTGACCCTTGAGGCACTCCACTAGTTACAGGCCTCCAACTAGACTCACATAGACCCATAGACTACAACTCTCTGGCTTCTCTCCTTCAGCCAGTTCACAGTCCACCTCACTACCTGATCATCCAGTCCACACTTCCTCAATTTAGCCGTGAGGATGCTGTGGGAGACTGTGTCAAATGCTTTGCTGAAGTCAAGGTAGACCACATCCACCGCTCTGCCATCATCCATCCACCGTGTTATTTCCTCATAAAAGGCTAAGAGATTGGTCAAGCATGATTTCCCCTTGGTGAAGCCATGCTGACTGCCCCTCATAACCCTCTTATCCTTGATATGCCTTAAGATGGCACCAAGGATAAGGTGTTCCATCACTTTCCCAGGGATGGAGGTGAGGCTGACCTGTCTATAGTTACCCGGGTCCTCCTTCTTGCCCTTTTTGAAGACTGGAGTGACATTTGCTTTCCTCCAGTCCTCAGGCACCTCTCCCGTTTCCCAAGACTTGGTAAAGATGATGGAGAGTGGTCTAGCAATGACTTCCGCCAGTTCCCTCAGCACCCGCGGGTGCATCCCGTCTGGACCCATGGATTTATGGATTTCCAGATTGCTCAACTGGTCTCTAACCCATTCCTCATCGACTAAGGCAAACCGCTCTGTTGACCTGACTTCATCTAAGGTCTCCGGGGTACAGGGCTCTTCAGGACTGCCTGCAGCAGAGTAGACAGAGACAAAGAAGGCATTCAGTAACTCTGCCATCTCTGTATCTTCTGTCACCAGGGCACCCATCCCGTTCATCAGTGGGCCTACATTGCCTCTGGTGTTAGTTTTGTCTGCCATGTATTTGAAAAAGCTCTTTTTGCTGTTCTTGACCCTTCTCGCCAGGTTTAATTCTAAGGATGCCTTAGTCCTCCTAGCTGCCTTCCTACATCCTCTAGCAGCAGCCTTATATTCCTCCCAGGTGGCCAGCCCCTCCTTCCATGACCTGTAAACTCTCCTCTTCCACTTGAGCATACCCAGCAATTCCCTATTTAGCCACGCAGGTCTCCTGGCCCTCTTCCTTGACTTCCTACGTGTCGGGATGCTCCGATCTTGAGCTCGGAAAAAGCAATCCTTGAATGCCAACCAACTGTCTTGGGCCCCTTTACCTTCAAACAGCCTTGCCCATGGGATTTCCCCCAGCAATTGCTTGAAAAGGCCAAAGTTTGCCCTGCTAAAGTCCAGGGTTGCAATTCTACTTGGTATTCTACTAGTCCGACCACACAAGATCCTGAATTCCACCATCTCGTGGTCGCTACAACCAAGGCAGCCCTCAACCCTTACTGCTTCGACCAGATCCTCCTTGTTAGTGAGGATGAGATCCAGCAGCGCTCCTCTCCTGGTTGGCTCATCCACCATTTGCAGGAGGAAGTTATCATCCATACACTGGAGGAACCTCCTGGACTGTGGCTGGGTTGCCGAGTGGTCCTTCCAGCAAACATCAGGGAAGTTAAAATCCCCCACGACAACCACAGCCTGTGACTGTGAGGCCGCTCTCAGCTGCCTGTAGAAGGCCTCGTCAACTTCCTCACCCTGATCTGGTGGTCTGTAACAGACACCCACAACAGTATTGCCCCTGCCAGCCTGCCCCTTAATTCTCACCCACAGACTCTCAACTCGCTCGTCATCTGTCCCTGGACAGAACTCGGTGCATTGTAGTTGCTCCCGCACAAAAAGAGCAACCCCACCACCCCTCCTGGCTGGCCTGTCTTTCCTGAAAAGGACATAGCCCTCCATGACTATATTCCAATCATGTGAGCTGTCCCACCACGTCTCTGTAACTGCCACCAGATCATAGTCTCCTGACTTAACACAGGTTTCCAACTCCTCCTGCTTCCCATGCTGCGCGCATTGGTGTACAGACATTCCAGGGAGCGAGCTGAGCACACCGATTTCACCCTAGGATTATAGGAGGCCTCCCAGTCTTCATCAGTTCTGGAGTGCTGCCCCACTGGGGCAAGCCCAGCTACAACCCCATCCCCCTTCGAATCTAGTTTAAAGCTCTCCAAATGAGCCCTGATAATTCGTGCCCCAGCATCCTTTTGCCTCTGTGAGACAAACCTTTCCCACTTGTCCTTGGTTCATCTAGGAAAAGAAGAAAGCAATACATTAATGAAATGTGTCAATAATATTAAGCAGAGAAATTGAAAATGCAAGTGAGGAAACATGAAATAAGTAAGAAAACCCTGGAAACAGACACATAAGATGAAATTTCAGTGCAAGAAGAGGAAGCTTAAATGGATACATCCTGAAGCCCAGAAATAATGGAAACTAATGGGTTAGGAGAATAGCTTGGTGTTTGTGTGTTGCAATAATAAGACACATATATGAAAGCAGCCTGACGAAAAACGCAACAGTAGTAATCCTTCCCTTGAAGATTCTACTGAATAGTGCTTCCAATTTAGTGTGGCATTTTTATGGAGATCAGTTTATGAAGCTCCAGTGTTCATACTGTAGGACTTGGAGTTTCTTCAGTCTAAAACAAAAAAAAAACCAGCACACTAAAATATCAGAATGGAAACCTCAATGTTTTAAGTGTAATTAATAATGAGAAAACTATTTTACAAGATCTCTTACTGATCTACATGAAAGATATTAGGGTAGAGTGGTTTCTTTCCCTACTGGTCTGCTATAAATGCCACAAAGGAGTTTTTTTTAAGCAGGGGAACATAATAGATTCCTAGGGAAGCTTGTGAGTATTTTAGCATGCAAGCTTTTAAAAATAATCTTGGAATATAGTTGGTAGACTGTAATAGGTAGGTGGGAAGAATCCTTGTATAAGTCATTCCCTGTGGTTTTTTTTTTTGCTTTGCAACCTTTTTATTTTGATGGAATATTTCTCTAATATTTATATCCTTGGCTGCTGCTAGCTGGCTGTCAGTTGCTTACTTTACCTATTACTTAATAGTTTTTCCAGGTACATATTTTACTTGCATCTTGATAAATGTTTTGTTTTAGTGAGATATAAATAATGAAATAATAAACGATTTCTCTTCCTGATACTTGAACAGTGCATGTGAAATGTCTGCAAGTTTTCATTTAATTCCTTAAATCAGTAGCTGACAGGTTTGGTTGTTGTTTTGTTTTTTGTTTTTTTTTCCTATTTGAATGTATGTAGGACCCTATAGGTTGCATGATACTAGCTAATTTACTCTTTTTTAAAATGATTTTTTTTAATTTATCTCTCTAGGATAATTTTTGATTCCTGGGTTGTGACAGATTATTACCTGTTTGCATTCAATGGGACGACGAATTCACTTTGTGGTTGACCCTCAGGGTTGGTGCTGCATGGGTCTCATTATCTTTGTCTGGCTGTACAACACAATCTTTATTCCAAAAGTCATCCTTTTTCCACACTATGAAGAGGGACATATTTCAGTTCTTGCAATTTTGTGTAAGTCAATTTAACTTAGCCCTTTTTTTATACCAGTAAAGATAGTATATTTGGGTAATAGTTAACACGTAGAAGAAAGATGAGAAAAAGAAAAGACAAGAGGCGAAGCATAAAAGTACTGTGGTGCATCCTACAATTTTGTGTTCTGAGGAGCTGAGACTTTCTTTCATTTCAAAGGTGTTCTGGTAAAACATGTTTGTGTGTAAACTAGGGAAAAGTGTTAATATGGTTTTCAGATCCTGTAGCTGAAACTTGACCTAATTTCAGGCAAACAACTCTTAGTGCTTGTCAGAATTTGGGGTGGTAGTACTGGCAAACAGAGTTTCGGTAGTTTTGTCATAAAAATGACAAATGACCTGGGTACGTCAGCTAATATGAGCTATGGTAATGAGTTTTTCTGGAGGAAGGCTTGGATTATAACTGGAACCAACTTATAGTGAAGATTGACTATTGGGAATGTCCTTTCCATGTGTAGGCTTTTTCTGCTAATACAATAGTGAAGGAACTTCTTAAATACAGTAGTAAGGTCATAATGTCATTCTGTCGGTGCTGTCAGAACAGTGTTCACTGCTACATTTTCCTTTCCCTTTTTAAGACTGGGGATTACTTAATATTTTAGACTTCATAGTACCAAATATATGCCTGGAATTGAATGAGAAGGATGAGTAATTTCTAACTCAGTGCTGGAGCATCTGTGTTCTTGATTCAGTGTACAGTGGGTGTTTTGTACACCTGAAGAAGACTAACAAGATTTTACTTATTTTTTTAGGTTATTATTTCTGCTCATTGTTTTGTATAGCTTCATTACTAAGAGCCTCAGTCGCTGACCCAGGAAAGCTGCCTGAAAACCCAAAGATACCGATTACAGGTACATTAAGTTGTTTCTGTATAATTGAATAAAAGTTATTTTAATGTCCTCAAAATAGTAGGAATCAATTTGATTTTGTGAGATTTGATGAAAACTATGAGCAGTTTCTGGTGGAGCCTATGTTGTTAATGATATTAGAATTGGTATGGTGCTGTTTTTAACTTGTAAATTCCTAGGACTTTCCCTTTTGTAGACTTTTCTAGGACTTTTCGCTTGTATTCCATAAGAAGTTTAGTTATTTAGGAACTTCTGCTAGGAAATTTTTCCACATGAAGGTCTTTTTTGCATTCTAGGCTTTCAAACATATTGCATATACTTCTAACTTGGTATCATTTAATAAAAAATGTTTAGAGGCGGTTAGTCATTATAATTCCATAGCTTTTTTCCTAATAGATTTATAAGATATCCAGGGTGGTAGTAGAAGGTACAGGATTTTATCTATGTATTTTCTACACAATCTTTTCCAGTGACTTATGTTTGTGTGGGCTGTTAACCAAACAAATGTGATGCTAATTACATTGCGTTCCTATGGGGTAGCAACTTAACATGTTAGATTTCCCTTCTGTCCTTGTGAATTTATTTCATAATTCCTTAATGGTATCTGAGGCTCCAGAAATAGAAGGAGATTTGAAACCTTAATGATTCTTCACAGAGAAAGCCATATTTTTAGGAACTGTTGAATGGTGTAAAGGTGCTTGTCTAATGCAGAGAGCTTTTGTGTAGCAGTTTTGAATGGAGTAGGTCTATTAAATAATATGTCTAATAAATAGGTTTGTTAAAATGTATGAAATGGAGTGAGGGGTGAATATTTCAGTCTTTTTTTGTTGTTCCTGGCATCTGCCACATTGTATTTCACTCTCTCTTCCTAATGCTAGTAGAATCTAGGATAATGCGTTTGGAAAGATGATCAGTTTACCCTCAGCACTGATGTTACAAGGTGCCCAAACTAGGCAGCAGATAGTAGGAAGGGGTGTATCTTTCTGGGATTCAGATGTAAAATACTGATTGCAAAAAATCTCATGTCAATGTTCTTTCTGCTTTTGGTAAATGATCCTTTGATCCAGTAAAAGGAAAGGTGGCTCAGACTTGGGTTCTCCAGTCAGAGTTCTTGCCGTAGGAAGAACAAAATGGGTTCTGCAGCTGAAGCTGGAGACTGAAGATACTTAGTACAGTTACAGATGATTATACTTATAACTGAATGTTCATTTACCTGCAAGATACCAAGACCAATACAAATTCCTTCTGTACAAATGTTTCTTCCCCTTTTAAGGGATCTCGATAAACAGCCCTCCAGCCTTTTTGTGCTCCATTCATTTCATATGGCAGTGATGCTTTATAGATACTTGTGAAGATGGAATGCTTAGGCTTGACTGTGACATTGGATGTGCGGATTTCATGTATGCCATATCAAGGATTTTATACTTTCTCAAGTAGCACTTCAGTTCCCTGGTATTCTCTAGGTTGACAGGAAGATACATTTTTACATGGTATAAATTGTATTAAAAATTAGTTGGTGTTTTTGAACTTTGCTGGTAGCTATCCTATTAGGGAGTGACATATTTGTGACACTGGTTTTATGGGAACAGATTGTAAATCAGTTTCCATCTGGTATTATTACTCCTTTAATGATCTCAGATGTTTGGCTTCTTTACTTCCAGTGTCCAAATGTTATTTTGTTGCAAGAAAGATAAGATTAGAGCTGCCTGCAGGTAGCTCAGAAGTGCTAAATTTATTTAATTTATATTGGGACAGTGCTTTTTCATTTAAAATTTCAGAATGCCCTACTGCAAAAAGTATGCTTATTCCTTTCTGACCTCCCCCAGGATTCAAGAAATTTCTCTGCATCAAGAAAGTTCTATCTAGGTAGAAACAACCAGTCAAAGTATTTTAAGATTCTCAGTCATGCACCTATTTTCCTTAAAGACAAAAAATACATGCTTTTGTGAATGCAAGTGTTACAGTGTTGGTGTGATTTGTTTCCCCTGTGAAAATAAACTTCCTAATATATCATTTGAATTGTCATTTTCAAAGGCTTCCTCTAAATTAGATGGTGCATTTTGAGATAAATAATAAGCTGAGTAATAGTAGCTCCTGGTAGTTTCAGCTATTTAGTATCTCTGGAGATCAGAATCTCACACTGGGCATCCAAACATAGAGTATAATTTTAAATACAAGTCTATCCTCTCTTCTGTGTTTCCCTTATGTGTAAAATTGCATGTTGTGTGGTGTATGTCTGAAAATGTTTTGAGGTGGAAGATGCTCCTGAAGTGTTCATTCTACATTTTATTTTGATTAGCTGGCTTTGACAAATTTGAGTAGCAGTATTTCCTCAGGAGGTTTTGGAACAGCAGGGAGATTTTATGATGGTTTTGCCTAGCAGGTACAGTTTTTGCAATGAGCATGTAAGAAAATAATTGAATTACAGTCTTCCTTGTTTGAGTGACAGCTTTTGTGCTGTAATAATTACTCCCTAGAAATATATAGGAGGAGAGAAGATTTTGGGGAAGACTGACCCAGATTGGCAATATTTTCCAGTTTAATTAAGGTGACAGTGGGAGAAAAGTTTTCATATGCTGCATACACTTCTCAGATCATAGTAAGATTTTATTTTTCTTTTTGAATCACTAGTTTACAGATTTATCATGAGTGTACTTTACTGAGTTATGTCTTTACATTTTCACCTAGAACGAGAATATTGGGAATTATGTAACAAATGCAATATGATGAGACCAAAGCGTTCACACCATTGCAGTCGTTGTGGACATTGTGTGAGGAGAATGGATCACCACTGTCCATGGTAAGACCAGGCCGTTTGTTCTAAAGCTCTACTGTTGTTTTAGTGAATCATTTCAAAGTTCATGGTCTTGACTATTGCTCATTTGCCATATTTCTTTCCTGGCAGTGCTTACTTGTTTAGGCATTTAGAGCAGGGAAGAACAGCTTTGGGATTTTCATATATCTGCAAGTAAAACTGAAAGTAGGGACTACTACATGTAACATTTTATCGTTGTCAAATTGTTATATGACATATAGTTTTGGAAAATTAACATACTTTGTTTAAGTAACTGGATTTTGCACTGCTAATAGTGATCTCAGCATAATTAATTTCTACACTGCAGATGTATTTCAGCGGTTGCAATTCAGTTTCTGATGCTGGAAAAGAAATATCTTTTTGTAGGGCATTAAACAGTGTGTTTCTTGAATTGAAATAAAAGATTACAATTTTAATATAAGAGAGGATGTTCTTTGTATTACTAAAAAAAGCTGATGGTTTCAGACAGGTTTTGATTTTAATGGCAGTGATGAGTAGAAAATGTTAGTGATTCTTACCATACTCTACTTGTCATAGCTGCTCTGATTTTGTAGTGAAATTGCTTATTTTAATGTTCTCTAACTAGTTTCAGTCAAAATGAACTAATACGGATAAAATTCTGTTTAAACTGGTTGTAGCTTAAAATTAAACATTTCTGTCAGTAGTTCTAAGGTATTGTTTGCAGCAAGACAGCAATGAAAAACACAGAGGACACAACTGACATTAGGATCCTTCTATGTTGATTTAGTAATTTTTCAAACTACCCTTTTTGTCAATTGCTACTTCAGAAAATTGTGCCAATATAGTGCTTTTGTTATTATGCCTTAAATTGGTACTGTGCCAAGAATGTTTGTGTGAAATTGCACCCTGACTGCGGTTTTTGCATCAATGTAACTTCTGTGAAGCAGACTAGACCTAGAATTCAAAGGTTTTGAATATCATTATTTCTAGAATCCTGGTGATTTCTTTGCTCATTTGTGTTGGAGTTTGCAGAAGGAGTTTCTGAATAAAGATGTCTATTCTGTCTTCTGTGTCTTAGGCTCCTACCCAAGTCACGCTTATTTGTCATTGAGGTATCTTGTAATGACATTTATTTCAAACCATTCATCTACATTTCCAGTTTTTGGACTCCGTATAGTTCACAACCAGTCAAATGCGTTGAGTAGCTGGAGATAATGCGTATTACTGTGAAATTTTGCAGACTTTTAAAACCCAATTTTGTTACTTACTACTTAAAATTGTGGGAGTATGTTTGCTATATGGAGATACAGAGAAATATGTCTCCTGTTCTAAGCAGTGGTCTCAGTAATACAACCTACACTTTAAGTGGCAGTGTAAGGAAACCACTCCTTATAGTAACTGCCATCTGTAAAATCTTTATTAAGAATGGAGTGATTAGTCAGTAGTTCTTATGTTTGTGCCATAAAGAACCATAACTTCTTTTACAATATCATAACTGCAGTGTTAAAGTCTTTGTATTTCTGTCTTTATACATTTTATTTCTCTGCAGGATTAATAATTGTGTTGGTGAAGACAATCATTGGCTGTTTTTACAGCTATGTTTCTACACTCAGATCCTTAGTTCATATACACTTATACTTGATTTCTGCCATTACTACTACTTTTTGCCTCTGAAAAAAGAAAACGGGGTAAGAATCAGTTTTCTTTACAAAGTGAGTAAGTAGCTTGTGCTGTAATGTAATTTATTTTGGTATATAGTTACTACATGCTTCTTCTAGCTCAGTCGCTTGCAGTGAAGAGAGTTCAACTAGATGCATGCTAAATGAGCAAACTGGTTTACAGTAAGTAACAAAATATCTAAGAGGGTCTATGGTTTCAGTTTGTTAAAAACGCAACATTAGTTTTCTTAGAAATCTAGGAAAGGAGGACAGAATCAGTTAGGTTCCTTTAGAAGAGATTAGTGAATAATGGGGAGAAGCAAGATAACTGCCTTATGTGTATTCAAATATCCTTTTACTTCCTCCAAAGTAAATTGCAAGTAAATCTATTGCAAGTGTCTATTTAAAAATATTGATAAGGCTGGAAAAATGAGAAAAACATACAATTATTCTGAAAGGAGTAAAAATTGCATTGGCTTTGAAGCAATATTTTGTGTTGCTTTCAAAAACTTATGTGGGTTAAGGGAGAATTGAGTTTGTGGAATTTTTTTAATTGAACTCTGTGCTGTTACCGTATTTCAACATTTTGTCATCAGTTAAATGCAGTTGAACACACAGAGAATATGGACTTATGGATGTTTGCTTGAAAATTGCTCAAGGCTTGAAAATGCTAGAACAGCAAATATTATGAGATCTTGTTCATAAAGAAATGTAAAAACTTCTACCCAAAATCTGAAATGGACTTTGTATTGGTACTGGTCTGTGACAAAACAAGCACCCTAAGGAAAAAACCTAGGAAACAAGTTTAAAATATACTAAAAATTAGATAACATTCCAGATGTTCTAAGTGAAGAGTCTAAGACCATCTCAGAAATTGGTAATGTACTCTTAAGTTTGTTGAGATTTTTTCCAAGTACTGAATTGCTGCAGATTTTTTTTATTCCATGTTGATGTGCCACCTCAGGATGTTCTCTGCTGGTAATGTCACACCCATCTTTCAAGGCTGCTGGAGACTGGCTTTTGGTTATGGGTAAATTAAGCCCCTTTTTCCATTTTGTTGAACAACTTCAGTTTGTTATTTTGTATTCCAAATGGTATGAAATAAGAAAATTAAACTTATTTTCAGCTTTCAACTTCTGTAAAAGAATGGGGCATACATAGCCTTCCAGTCTTCTTTGCTTCCTTATCTGCCTGCAGTGGATTTGATGTTCCCAAGAAAGCATATGTGAAGATGATGTGTCAAAGGCTGTACTCCTTTGACCATCCAGAATTGATAAAAGTGTTATATTCAAGTTGATAGAGACCAACTTTTTAATATAGGGAATGCACCAAAGTTGAATTTTTTGCAAATCTCTCTTAAAATAACTTATATTCTAAAGGATTTATTTTTTTCGTTCCCATCTGTGTATTTCCCCTTTTCCCTTTAAATGGCTTAAGGAACTCTAAAAATAAGGAAACGAGAAGAATTTGCTGTCTTCTTGGAGCATCTGTCCATAGACACTGCCCTCTAAACAGAGACGGACCTGTAAAATATGTCAATTAAAATGGAGTACTCACATTTTTCACTTTGTTTCCGGTTTGTGGCAGATGGGCTTTTCATATTTACATTGTTTTACAGGCATTGTGAGATTTGAAGGAACTATTTTGATTTGTTGTAGCTATGTCCAAGTTAAAAGGAATATGAAATTGCAGTTTCTCTATTAGTCAGTAAATCTGTCATCTAAGTAAAATTTCTTAAGTTTTTGAATGGTAACTGAATGTAAATCCTTTGTTTCTAGTTTCAGTAGATTTGTAAACTTCTTTTTTGATTTATAAACTAAGTAAACCTACTGTGTTTCTGGACAGAGTGATCCTACATTTTGTGTATTCTGAAGGCTTCCTGTACATAGAGTTTGCAGGTTTCAAGTGCCAAGACTTCTCTCTCAGTGATACTGCTCTGAATTTATTTAGTTGTCTAGTCAATATATCTGCTGGGAATAGGTCGTCAGAGTCCTCTTAAGCTGTTTTTTTTTTACAGTGTTGCTAAGGATACAGTGCTATATAACTTCATGTCACAGAGTAACATGTCAGAATTGTGTAATTTTGATATCAAATGAACAGGATCACTGGAAAGATTTGCTTACTGTTAAGTAGGTTTTTAAGTAAGCATGCTGCAAGATTCTTTAGTCTTTGTATATCGACTAATACTGAAGTACCATAGCATTCCAGAGACTGAAGTACCTTCTACCTCTCCTGGAAGTGCTGCTTTTAGTTGAAATTTTGGGTGTAACCAGGAGGCTACATTTTCTGAATTGAGCAGGGCCAGTGTTTAGCACAGATTCAAAAAAACTGCATATTTTTTTCTAAACAGCCATCTGGAATTTGCTTATTCCTGATCATTAAAAATACATGTGAGGTTTTTGGCAGTGTGCCTTCAACTTAATTTTATTTCTTTGGATATAAAATAGTACAGAACACAGAAGCAGTAGAGTTAAAATTGCTTTTAAGGCTATTGTGAAATAATCACAGTACTGATTAATGCATTATGAAAATAAAATCACAGTATGCATTCTAGTATTTCCTTCTGAATATAAACTTGTGGTTTTATTTTGAAAGGGTTAAGTAAGAAAACTCCAAACATTTTGTATTAAGTGCTCTGCAGTAGAGGTGATAGCTTTAAAGTTAATAGGGGAAGCCCTTTCAATAGAGATACAATCTTTCAGCTCAGGTTTTATAGCAGAAAATTGCTTCATAGTATTCTTGGCTCTTCTAATTGATACAGTCAGAAAGATGGATTTTGGTTATTATCTCTGTTTGTCCAGCAGGAGGAGTACAATTACTGCTAGGAATGAGGAAAATGGTAATTAAATTGTCAATGGGAGATCCTAGCAGAATAAAAAATACCTAATACAAATAAACTAGCATATGAGTTCCTCTGTTACCTTTGGTGGTTTTCAGAGGCTAAAACTGGAACATTCTTAATTTTGCATCTTCAATAAAAAACATCAAGGTCAGGAAGTTTGTATCTTTTAGGAAGCATTAAATGTTGTGGGTAGTGAGGTGACGAGAATAAATACTAGTCTTGTCATGACTACATATATAGTTGCTGTGTACTATGGCTGTGCTGGCAAAGATTCAAGACACAGCTGGTTGAGTAGAAGCAAAAATAAATGCATTGGCAGTATATTTTACCTGATTTATAGAAGGCTTTCAATCTTTTAAGCAAAAGATTTTTTTTTTAAAAAAACAGAGTTTTTAAAAACTACTGACCTATGAAAACCTAAACCTCTTTGCTCTGATTTAGTTTTACCAAATTGATTGGTTTTTAAAGAGTTCTGGGCTCTATTAGTACAGGGGGAGGAAAGATCATTGAGGAAGCATTGCAGCAATATCAGCCTGCTCTGTCTGGGGCCCAGCTTTCTCAATTCCAATAAGTGCTGTTGGAAAATATTCATTAGCCTTTGTGAGATTATTTACAGTACTATTTCTTTCAATATTATGTAGTAGCTATAATATTAATTAGAATCTGGGAATATGTATTATTCAAAGTCCATTTATATTGTAAAGAGAACCTAAAGGAAACCTTTTCTCTCTTAGGGCCATTACATGACCTGCAGGATGTGAGAATTTTTTTAAAAAATAAAGTACATCAAAATTTTCCTTCTCAGTGTTCTGAAACAGCAACCTTTCCCTCCTCTCCTCTTGTATAATTATAGAGACAGTATATGAATATTGAATTAGGTTTAGAAAGTAAATTCTATACAGAAAAATGTAGGAGCAACTGAGAGGATAATATTTTGTTAAAAATATATTGATAGTGTCATTTTTATGTTAAGATCGTATGGCCTTTTCTTAAAATCTTTTCTAGTCTGAAAAGACTTCAGAATTATCACTTTGGATTGAAGTGTATGTAGACAATTGGTTTTGAAGTCAGAGTGTTATTCCCATTTTCACTTCAAACCAAATCATTCATGAATCAGACTGCAAAATTACTCATTTAGTAGAACTGAAATAGTCCTGAATCAAAAAGTACTTTATGTAAACATCAGTTGTTATAAATATCTCTGCAAAACGGCTTATTGCAATGCAGTTTGTGTTCTGTGAATTAATTTTTTTTAACTGTATTTTTGTGGAGTCACATATTTCTATTTCAACGCAGAACTGTGAAATGATCTCTGTTATTAAGATCTGATTACCAAAAGACTCTATTCCTGTGTATACTTAGCTTTTCTGTGGAAAAAGTGCTGTTCTGTCTGTACAGATTGCTAGGTGAGGGTCCAGTATTGATTTCCAGGTCATCATTGCCTCAGAGACTTTTATTCCCCTTGGGTTGTGTAATGGCTGGAAAAACATTGGTGATGTTGCCTCTTCAGCAGCATCTTTTCCAGTAGATGTTTTTGGTTTTTAGGATGGGAGGAAGAAGAATAGGAAGGAAAGAGGGAAGGAAAGTAAAAAGGAAGGAGGGAAGGAGAGAAGGAAGAAAGAAAAAAGGTAGTATTCCTTGGTCTTCAGTATGAAACATCTTTCCTTTTCTGTACTTCTAGTTTTAATGTAGGTTAGGGGGGCCAAGAGCAAAATGCAGTCTGCCTTCTTTACACTAGAATTTTCCTTTCTCATGTTTTGGGTTATGTGGTTATGTTCTTTCTAATGAAGGTGATGCTCAAGAGAAGGAACTCTTCTAAATTAGAGTGTTAGAGGGATACCAAGAGCTGTGCTACAGACTTTTTTCTAATGGGGAGTGTGATGCTAGACCCAGAATGTGACTTTGCTGTTGGAACTCTTACATTTCACTGTTTTCTGATGAGTCTGAGTATGTTAAAACTTTTCTGATAAATTAAACAATGAAGATAAACCTTGTTCAACAAGGAAGAGTGCCATGTCCACACGTGCAGTTGGTCTACAAAACCCCGCAACACTACAGGCATAGGGAAGGGTGGCTGGAAAGTTGCTCAGCAGAAAAGTGCCTGGAGGTGCTGACTGGCAGCTGCTGTACATGAGCCAACTTGTGCTCAGGCAGCCAAGAAGGCCACCGGCGTCCTGGCCTGTATCAGAAACAGCCTGGCCAGCAGGGACGGAGCAGTGATCATCCACCTGTGCTCAGCAATGGTGAGGCTGCACCTCAAATCCTGTGTTCAGTTCTGGGCTCTCACTACAAGAGACACATTGAGGTGCTGGAGTGGGTCCAGAGAAGGGCAATGAAGCTGGTGCAGGGTCAGGAGCACAGCTCTGGTGAGGAACAGCTGAGGGAACTGGAGTTGTTTAGTCTGGAGAAGAGAAGGCTCAGGGGGGACTTTATTGCTCTCTACAGCTACCTGATAGGAGGATGGAGCAAGGAAGTGGCTGGTCTCTTCTCCCGAGTAACATGTGATAAGGCAAGAGGTAACAGCCTCAAGCTCACCAGGAGAGATTTAGATTGGGTATTAGGAATGATTTCTCCACTAAAAGCGCAGTCAGGCATTGGAACAGGCTTCCCAGGAAAGTGGTGGAATCACCATCCCTGGAAGTGTTCAAAAACGTGTGGTTGAGGCACTGACATGGTTTAGTGGCGGACTTGGCAGTGCTAAGGTGACAGTTGGACCTGATGATCTTATCTTTCCGAACTTAGCTGATTCTGTGATATGAAAAGAATTTCACAGCTAGCAGAACTTGTGTCTTACCTTGGTGGTGAAAAGGAACAAAAGTTAGTATGAATGCTTTTATTTTGAGTTAATGTAATTTTGAATTAACTCTTTAATGGGTAAGAAGAGTTTAAAAAGAAATTGAAATGAAACATACGTTTTCTACAGGCAGTAAGAAAGGCCAACACTAACAAGAGCTGGCTTACCAGTTCCCAAAAGATGGTGGGATTTGCGTTAACTGGTGTTTTCTTCTTGTTCATTAAACATCAGCTCTCTTCATAGCCTTAGTAGACAGCATAAACTTTTTTTTCAGCATAAACCTTTTTCCTGGGTTTATATTTTGAACCTTTGTGAAAATAACTTAAATCTAAAATCAGACTTTTTTACTAAGTATAATTTGCTTTAACTATTTTCTGTTTAATTAAACTGCAGTATTCCCAAACCCTTAACCATTACACTGAACTTAAAGAAGGGAAGTTCAAAAGCAATGTTTTTTAATTGTGTTTTGTTTGGGGTTTGTTTTTTTTTTTTATTCTCTTCCCTCTTTCAGTTCACTTTTATGTTGTGGTTGTAATTTAAAGTATATGTGAAAAGTTTTAATAGTTTCCTGCTGTGATCTGGCTTTTCTAAGTGGGAAAACAGATGTGTACATTCAAAAGAGCCTTGAGAACATAATCGTAACTTATAAATAAGGGAATGAGTGTGTTAACTCATTATCAAAGGGTAAGACAAGATGTGAACTTGGAGTACACCTACAGTAACTGCCATGTGCAAATGTTTTCCTGTTATAAAAATAAGGTGTTTTAACCTTTGAAAAAGATCTATAAAACAGTCTTACACTTTTCATATTTTGTGCTGGGTGAGAGCAGGCTTTCTAGAGCAGGTGATACAGTAAGTTTGTATTCTCCTATACCCTGAGGCAACTTGGTTGTGCACCCATATCGAAAGTTAAAATAATCCACTGAAGGCAAAAATTTAAAATATGGAGATAAGTTTATGTTGGATAATAGTGTTACGGTGAGGCTAATCCAATACAGGTACTCATATTTTGTAGGTATCATCTTTAAAAGTCAAGCTAGGAATGTTATTTTTATTCTGAAAGATGTGATGTTAAAATTAAATTTGAATGGGTTGGAGCCAAGGTATAGGAATCTTATAAATTAGAGTATTTAACTGAATGCTGTTCTTATATTTTGGAGCTTTTTTTGTAGCAGTCTGACACAGTTTGAGATGAAAGATTCAGAAGTAACTCATTTGAGCGCACTCTATTCCCAAATCTTAAATACCCAAATGAGGTTTTTGAAAATCTGGCAAACCCTCCCCAACAATAAATAAAAGATTATCGATTTATAATTTCAGCCCATAAATGAATCAATTTGCAATGTAGCTCAAAAAATCCAGTATTTGCCTTTAGTTATAAATCTTTGGGAACAGCTTTTATCTAGCATTTCCACATAGTTCAAAGACTTAAATTGATTTCTGTGTGCTAAAGTCTCTTTCTTCTTTCTGTCTTATTATAGGATGTTTTTTTATTTAGACACGAACTTGCTCTCCTAAGAATATCTGCCTTCATGGGTATAATAATGTTAGGTGGAATAAGTGGACTCTTTTACACTCAGCTTATGGGTATTTTCACTGTAAGTATCTATTTTTAGAAGTATATATTAGTTTTATTTTCAATAAAATTTAAAAAAGCAGAAAAGTATATTGCATTTAAGGAAAGAGTAGAAAACCACTTGAACTTTGAGGCGTCTGTTTGGTATGTGATCTGTCAAAACTCTTGTTTCCAAGGAAGTCTTAAGCCATCTAACAAGTATCTAATAAAGTTCACCTATCAAGGCAATTTCCTGATTTATATTAGTAAAATAAAACCATACATGGTCCTGGAATTGTGCTGCCTACAAGGTATGTATTCGTGGGGTTTGAGTTTTGGTTTTATTTTAAACTTTCATGTGCCTTAGTGTTCATTATACTGTGTGACAGTGAGGATCTCCATTAAGTCACCCATTCTAAGAACACAGGCTTTCTGTTAAGTATTTTAATAAATATGCTTACATTTGTATCTCTTCAGTCACCAAACTGTGGAGTGGAATCGAGTAGAATTTACTTCCAAATGTATATTCTGTATTTAAAGGTACAGAAAAAAAAGGCTGTGCATGGAAAAATTTTCCAGTTAAACGGATTTGGTAATGTCATAAATATCTACAAGAAACAAGTGTCTGTTGCGGTGATATCCTGTTGTGTACATTAGAAGTTAGTCACCAGCAGTGGATTCCTTAATTATCTTGAGAATCCATGCAGGTGTTTGAGTTATTGCAGTGTTGAATGGAGAGAGTACAGTAGTTGCATCTGTATATGTCTAAAAGGGTGTATGATCTGACCTGCAAATTTTTTTTAAAGACAGTAACATACAAGATGACAGCATCTTTGTCACTGAAACTGGTTGAGATCTGCCTGAGGTCTCATTTGGGGATTATGAGGGTTTACACAGTATTAACCTTTGTAGGTGCACAATGGGAAACCTCCTAACTATATAATGTAATTCCTCTGTATAGAATAAAAGACAAAAATTACTGCATAGGTTTTCCTTCAGTTAGATAAAACAATAACATTGCTCACTGGTTTTATTGTATTACCTTTACATAAGTTTACTATCTTCTGCTCTTTGTGTGACTGTGGCTATGCTGTGTGTTATTTTTGCCATCTTCCAGCTGCTCTACCAGACCGTTTTCTGCACTTCTGTCAACCCCCCAGGTCTACAGATTTGCCTTTGTGCCCCTTCACTGTGTGCCTGATTTCTGTTCCAGGATCTTGCTGACAGGTTCTCACCTCGCTGTTTAAATGCTGGCACACAACCTTAATGTTTGTGTCCTCTAGAGGTGGGACTTCCTTCTAATCTGATATTGTGCCTTGCTGGGTACCTAGCTGAAGTGGTGGGCACATCTGAATTCTGCTCACCCTTGCTCCCAGTAGTGTGAGAGGCAGAAACACAGAGAGCCTTAGAGTTCAGATGCTGAAATACGGATTTGTTTTAGTCTGTTAAATGGTATTTGAGAAGGAACAAAAAGCCATGGGATCAGTACTGCACTAACCCACCTAAGTCTACCATTCTGTTCTGTGTGATGCTAGAAGCTGGACTAAATTTTGGCTATGGCCATCAGCATTTATTCAGCTAGTCTTAGTACACATGAAATAAAAGCTCTCAGTCTGAACCCTGTTCTGTCAGATACACCTGAAATTTGGGACATTTCTGTTCTGACACAGAACACAAACTGTGCTGCCTCTGCAACGGACAGTATCTTCTTTTACTGTTCTGAGCCTTAGCACTGCCAGGCTGCTACCACCACTGCAAACTCTTACAAAGTCCTGTAAAGCCCTTTTGCTCTGTCAGTTGCATTATATACTGTGAAGTACATCCTATACACTTACTAAGCCAGCTACTACCCTGGAACAGATGTGGGCTAATTACATTTTCAAGTCCAGCCTCCTTTTATGTGCTGAAATCATAATTCTGTGGGTTGCTGAGCTGCAGTATGCCTGTATATTCTGTTTTGTCCTCTTTGCCCACCTTTGCAAATAAACCACAATAACTGTGGATATGAATGGACTTTGAGAGGCAGATGGTGGAAAGTACAGCCCTTCTGCATTAGGGTATCCTACTGCACCCTACCTGTAGTGGAGGGGCTGTTGTGCTTGCTTCCTATGGACAAGTTTTTAGGTTTGGGATTGATGGGGAAGTGGAAATCCATTACTGGGATCTCCAAACTCTAACTCATCCACACCATGTGGATGCTGTTGCATTGACTCATTGAAGAACACAGGTCATCTAGTTCGTCCCTCACTCAAAGCATTTCCATATTAGCAGCACAATCATCTTCTTTTACAGTCCTTTCTTCATTAATATAGAATTGGCAAGAATAAACAATGCAGTCACTCTAAGGAAATCTACTTGGAAACAGCTAGTCAGACTTCAGTCAAACAAAACCAAATCTGTTTGTTGAGGTTGTGCTTAGCCTGCAGGTTATGTCAGAAAATCTTTCCGTACAAATAATTTTGATTGTCAGCATTGTAGTGTGGGGATTTGCTTCCTCCATAAGCACCGACTATCAGCTTTGGCTAGCCAATGGAAATGGCGGAGGAGAGGGCAGCAGATGAGTGAGTAGTTTCTTTGCAGGCTCCCTAAAGACACGCCTATGATGCATAGAATAGGGAAACAAAGAAACCGGGTATACCCATGCACAGGGCTGAGCACACAGCATGGAAAACATTCAAGTCCTGTGGAAGCAGTGAACCGTGATCACTAAGAGACAGCGATGTGCCTACTGTGTGCTATGCTGGAGTTACTGTTCAACATCTAACCTTCCTGCATAAACTGAGTAAATTGCAACTGAAATGAGCTCTATTTAAAATAATTAATTAATGGTGAAATTAAACCTAACTTATGAAAAGATACAGATCAAAATCCATTTAACAGCAGAATGCAATTGTTGAAGTATAATTCTGCAGACTTGAGGTTAATTTAAAAGAAACTCAAACACTTGAAGGCATAGATACGCAGTTAAAACCTTCATGTTATATTGATTGATCCATAGCTATTCTTCAGAGCAACAATATCGGTGATTGCTGAAGCTGCCCAGAGATGTGTGCAGGAGAGGTGGACAAGAGCATGGGCCTTTTGAAAAGGTGAAGCAAAGCAGCTCTTACTTGTGCTTCTGCAGGAACACAGATAATAAACAGTTTCCTAGTTCATGCTCTATGCCTGTGTTTGCAGTTTAACATCAAGACAAGATTAGTTCCACAGCTCCTGGATAAAAGTGATTTTTGAATAATAAGACAATCAGTATTGCATTCTCTGTGATCTAAACTTTCACTGATACATACTGTTGCTAAATGGGTCCAGCAAGTTCAGGGTTGTAGGGGTTTAACATTATTTACCTGTATTTCAAATGCTGCCAATATCGTATTTCTGGAAATAAAAATAAACTCAGGACCTATGAAACTTTGATCATTTTTGTAGCAAAACATCCTGATTGCCTGTAAGGTAAACCTGCTTGATGTCATTATATAAATTTCTGAAAACCAAGCCAGTGGTTTCTTTTCCAGCTAAGTAATACAAAGCTAAGGCTGACTTTTCCCAGGACTATTGGATGTGCGTGTTAAGAAAAAATCCTCAGTTCTTGGTCTTTCAGTACATATATAGAATGTGCTCTACTTACTGTCAGTCTTACAGAAGCAACTTGTGATAAAGAAATCAAAGACTTGTTTGTCCTCTTTTAGCATCATGAGTAACAAGTAACTGTGACCTGGAATGGTAGCTTCCCACTTCATTGTTTATGGTTGATTTCCACGTCTGAATGGCTCTGCTCAAATGTAAATAATGGGAAAGTAGCATGCATGTGAAATGTGATACCTATCCTAGTCACAGCACTTGTGCTGTTTCTTCGTATTTATGGAAGTTTATCATTTTTCTACTTCAGCAAGATAAAGTTGAATGTATAGAATTAATTTAGTGAATATACTCCAGCATGTTTTTCTGGAACAGGGCAGTAGCTAAAACAGGAGAGCAAAGCAGCACATTATGAAGTACAGGTGAAGCAGTCTGCTGTGTGTGCTGACACTTTCCAGAATTCGTTGTGCAGTTGACTGATTTCTGTGCCTATGAATTGCATGACTTGCATAGGTTATAACAGTATCTACTGTATAAGCTCTTTAAGAAAAAGGTGCATGTAATCTGCTGTTACCCTATTTCATGTGTGTTTGACAGATACCAAGATGCTTGTAAAAAATGTGATTTCTGGTAAAAGTGAAAACTTTGTAACTTGTGTACTCAAATTTGGTCCTTGCACAGAGAATGTTTCTTAAAACTGTACTTACTGCTTGAGAAGGTGATTAACAGAACAAGTTGCCTAACGTAATAATTGAGTGCATTTACCACCTCTCTTACTTCGGTATCACTGGTAGGGTATCATTAGCATAAGGCTGTTCATAGCTCGTCTGGAGGTGCAGGAAGCCAAAGAGCAAGGGAGGTGACTTCCTACAATGAGAGAAGAACAGCTGGTTGGCAAAAACTGTCCTTAGAGGAACTTTTGACAGGAATTGTTCCATTGGAGAGGGGAGCAGCTGAGGTAGCCTCTGTATATGAGATTAGTGCTTTCTCCCTCGAAACTAGCATATGTGAAATACACTTCTAGCAGAAGGGGCATACAGCTCTTTTCATCCTCCTTCTGCAATTGCTTTCCCAAGCTCTGTTTTGGCTCATTGTCATCCTGAATTTTAACACTTCTTCCAGCATGTACCTGAGATTGCTCTTGGGGAACTTTTATTTGGATACTTTGGAAACGGAAGTACTTCAGTTCTTTCTGGTTCATTAGTCTCTGAAATAGGGAGAAATTTAAGATCCTAATTTAGGGACTGTAGGATCCTAAGAAGATACTCCTAAAACCTCAGCATAACAATAACATAACTTCTTACTTACAAGTTTCATGTTTCTAGAGAACTGTATAGAAGAAAACAGTTTCACCCATGAACAAAGCAATGCTTAATGTAATTTTCAAAATGATAATGTATTTATATTGAAGGCCTGCTTCTCTTCCATACTTGGTGCTTCTTTTATCAGTCCTCTACTCCCTGCCACTGC